TGCACGTTGAATCATGATACGCCAGAGTACACACATCTGACACATTAACTATACTGCATCACCACGAGAAAGCTAGTAACGGACCAGGATTCGGCCGGGCATGTCCCCCTACAGGCGGATTTTGAACGACAAATAAAACATACCCAAAGCAACTCCCGAATGGTCCAACCATCGTCCCCAGATTTTTTTCTACTAATTTTCAATAATCCTCCTGAAGAGAAACACGCCCTACTTACAACAATTATGCGTATCCAGCTCACGTGTATCCAGCTTCCTGGTAGGCCGAGCGAGCCACGGGCCCGGTCGAGCGCAGGTGCGAGGCTCAAGCCTCTTCGCGAAGGGCGAAGCCGGGCTTTCGGCGAGGCGGCTGCGCAGCGCCCGAGCGCGAACACGTCGAGAGCACAGTCCCAGACCGCCAGGCGTCGCTTGTCGATTGCATTTGTGTCTTGTTCGCTCACTTCTTCAAACAACAGCTTTCACATGTACGTATGTGAATTACACCAAAGAGCGTTCCAATCAATGGATAATTTGATCGATAAGGAGATCGACCGGGAACCTGGGAACCCGGAACCCACCGAAATCGGCCCGGAACCAATGACCGGCCCTTCAGTGCAAGCGCTGATTGGGGAATCACGCTACATTCTACTCCAAATCCCTTCTTAATCGTCCCCCGGGTCCGGCTTTTTAAGGCGCCGTTTTCGTAGCTGGGGGGGGTCCGGTTTGTTAGGGCGCTTTCTTTGGATTGAAGCTCAGGGGGTCCGGTGTCTCAAAGCGCCCCGTCGAAGAGGGGGGTCCGGAATATCAGGTCGCATTTGGAGGGGGGTCCGGTTTTTGAGCGGGGGCCGATTGATAAGGGATTTGGAGTACGTTAGGTTCGTGTCGTGCCGACTTCGGCGTTGGTTTCTGACACCACGGAGATCGTTCAATTTTGAACGATCGGCCGTCCCAGAAACATCAGATCGTTCCACATCGACCGATTCTGGGTCGCCAGCGGCGTTCAACATTGAACGCCAACGGCGGGGTCGCCGCCGGTCGACACGACACGAACCTACCGTACCTCCCTCCTCGTCCTCACCACTCCTCTTCACCCTGACCCTCGTGAGCCTTCCCGTGCGACCTCATCGTCCTCCTGCGCCCTCTCGTCTCGGCTCCTCCCTCCTCCCTTCTCCATCGCAGTTTTGAGTCGGGCACGTCCCCCTACATGGGGAGTACCCACACATAGTTAAAAAAACAAAAAACAAAAAAAGTCTGGGGATAATGTTATGTCTACATCATTTATAGAAGAAGAAGAAGAAACCACAAAACATATTTTTGTTTGTCGCTCCGCGCGGACTTCTTGTATCCGCGCCTGGGCCCCCCCGGCGGCGCCTCCGGCGCCGCCCCTGGCGCGCTCCGCGCGCCAGGGAGGCGGGGGGTCCAGCGCGAGTGCAAGAAATCCGCGCGGATCGCAAAAAGTTTATGTTTATGTGGTTCTTCTAATGTCGCACCCCGCAGTTGCGGATAAGAGCGATGGGGGCAAGCGCGGGGTGGGCCGCAGGTGGGGGTCGCGGGCGGGTCGCGGACGAGGCGCGGCCCCGGCAGCTGGCGGGGACGACGACAGCAACAACGCAGGGCAACGCAGCGCAACACGAAGCAACGCAACAGCAATCCGTACAGCAATCCGCACCGCGGAACCCCACTTCAACCACGCGCCCAGGGACAGCGAACGACCGCTTGGCCCCCCCCCTCACTCTGATATACTGTTCCTGTGCACAAAGAAATCGGCCCCAAGAAATCTAGGCCACCTCCCTAGCAGAGGCTTCCCATCCCGAATAATTCTTTGACGGCCTGGGGGCCCAGTGAGAGCCCCAGGCAACCACCTTCCTTCATGATTTTTTCACGACGCTGGGAGGCACCATGAAGGGCCAGAAGGCCCCCAGGCGGCATCGCGCAGATGGAGATGGGGGGCTCGCTGCAGTGAGAGGAGCGCGGCGACCACGAGCAGGTCGACGAACTGCAGCTGGTGGAATTGGGGGCTGGGAAAGGCGATGCCTGCAACAAAAAGTCCTTCTGCATTTCTTCCGCCTCGAGCTCCCCTCCCCCCTCCTCCTCTTCCTCCTCCTCCTCCTCCTCCTCCTCCATCTTCCTCGCGATCATCTCCTACGCCTGGTTCTTCTTATGCGCCTCCTCCTGGTCCGCCTCCTCCATCTCATCCCGCGCCATCCTTGCCCTCCTCGTTCTCCTCCTCCGTCTCCTCCCGCCCTCCCGTTTTCTCTGTGCCCCTCTTCTTCCATTCGTGCCCCCTCCTCCCAATCATCACTTCACCCCCCCGCCTTCCTCCTACTATTGCTCCTCCTCCTCCTCACCCTCATCGCCATCCTCCTCTCTATGCACCTCCTGCTCAGCCTTCCCCCACGCCGCCACCTCTCCTCCTTCTTCGCCCCTCCATCCCTCCTCCCCTCCTTCTCCTACTCCTGAAGGCCCCTTACTTCTCTGTCCTCTCCTCCTCCACGTCATGCGCACCATTGGCCCCCTCCCCCCTCCTCCTGATCTTCCTCCTCCTCCTCCTCCTCCTCCCCCTTCTGCTCAATGTCTTCCTCCTCTTCACCATCTGTTATCATCAATCACACCATGACTCCCATCACAATCCGCTTCTGCATCATCATTGCCACCATCCTCATTCGCATCGTCGTCATCAGTAGCAACCAAAAGTATGTGTATCATCATCCCCCTCATCAATAACACAAAAACCACCACCCTCTTCACCACCACTAATCATCAATATACCAATCAATCCCTCCGTCTCCTCCTCCCCCTCTTGTCTCATCCTCGTCCCTCATCCTTCTCCTCCTCCTTCCCGCTCCTCTTGCCTCCTCCTCCTCCTCCTCTTCCTCCCCATTGTGTTTCCTTCTCTTCTTCCTCGTCTTCGTCATCTCTCATCTTTTCTCCCCAACCCCTTTTCCTTACAAGTAATTCTTCCCTGTCGCACCCCGGGACGTGTCGGTAGGGCGGGCCGCGAGTTCCCCTTTTGTGATCCTGAAGCTAAGAGCTAGAGCTTCGCAGATGGAGGACGGCTGATCTCCACTATGTGGCTCTCGCCTGAGCGACGCCGCGCACCTTTGTCCTACAAGTTATGCAGGAGATCCACGGATGCAGGCGGGTTGTTTTCAAAGTGTGGCTCTCGCCAGAGCGCCGCGCGCAGGCGTCTTGAACAAAGTTTGCCCGAGTTTTGCGGACGGCGGGGTCGTTTTTTAAGACGTGGCTCTCGCCTCAGCGCCGCGCACACTGGCCTCACAAGTTTGCGAGAGCTTCACCGATGGACGGCGGGGAGGTGTTCAAAATGTCGCTCTCGCCTCAGCGCCGCGCACATTCGCCTTGAAAGCTTGCAGGAGCTTCACGGATGGAGGGCGGGACGTTATTCAAATGTGGTTCTCGCCTGTCGCCGAGCACATTCGACTTACAAGTTTGCCAGAGTTTCACGGATGGAAGCCCGTTCCTTTTCGAGATGAGGCTCTTGCCTGATCGCCGCGCACATGCGTCTAAAATGTTTCAGAAGATTTCAAGAGATTCGCATTGTTGACGTCTCTGCCATGGTGTTCCGGCACGATTTCGGATTCAGAAGGTGCAACAGTCACGTTGACTCACTGTGCTGAAATCCGAGGAGTGGTGTTTTGTCACGATTCAAGGCCGTCAATATGCAACAGCAGCGTGGATTTGCAGCGCTGACATACCAAGAACGGTGTGTTAGCACGATTGGGGGTTCTCAGGCGGTGGTCTTCCGACGGAATACTTCCCGCATTGAGAACAAATCCATGTACGTAGGGACGCATGAAAGGGGGAACTTGGACGGAGGGATCACTGCAACACCGTTGATGCGATTTGGACTTGCTCTGGTCTCTCCTCCTCTTCCTCATCTCCCCCCCTCCGCCGTCGCCTCGGTCGCTTCGTCGTCCTCCCCTTTCTCCTCTCCCTCCTCCTCCTCCTCCTCCTCCTCCTCCTCCTCCTCCTCCTCCGCTTCGCTTCGCTCAGTGGGAACGCCAGTCAGTGCCTGAAGCGCCTCTTCCTCCTCCTCCTCCTCCTCCTCCTCCTCCTCCTCCTCCTCCTCCTCCTCCTCCCCTGCAGCATCTTCCTTCTCCCTCCTCCGTTTCCTCCCGCTCCTCCACCCTCCTCCTCCTCCTCCTCCTCCCTCCTCCCTCCTGCTCTGCTCCTGCTCCTGCTCCTGCTCCTGCTCCTCCTGCTCCTGCTCCTCCTGCTCCTGCTCCTGCTCCTGCTCCTCCTCCTCCTCCTCCTCCTCCCTCCTCCTCCTCCTCCTCCTCCTCCCCTCCCCCTCCTATGCATCGTCTTCTTTTCCCTCCTCCGTTTCCTCCCGGTCCTCGACCCTCCTCCTCCTCCTCCTCCTCCTCCTCGTCCTCCTCCTCCTCCTCCTCCTCCTCCTCCTCCTCCTCCGCCGGGGCGCGGACAGAGCCCAGCACGCGTCCGTGAGCACCTCGACGTCCGTGGAGTAGATGAGGTTCGCCAGCGTGCCCAGCGCAGGCGACACCCTGCGCCGCCCGCCGTCCCACCCCCACACAGCCTCACCCCGCTGCGTGGCCTCGACCGCCAGCTCCTGGAAGGAGGCAGAAGGGGGGGGGAAGGAGGCAGAGGGGGGGGGGCGGGAGGCAACAGCTGGGAGGTTTTCGTCGGAAGGACCAAAGAGGATTAAGCCCCATGTGGAAGCTGTTACGCCGGAGTGGGTCTCGGACTAAGCAGGATTAAGCTGGATTGAACGGGATTAAACAGGATTAAGCCGGATTAAGCGGGATTAAACCGGATTAGGCCGGATTTGGCCGGACTTCGGACCAGGGCAATATCAGAATTTGACCTCTCAGGAGTTGCATCCGAGGGGGAGGGGGGGGGGCGGAGGGACGCGAGGAGAGGGAGGAGGGGGCGGGGCGAGGAGGAGAAGGCGAAGGGATGCAGGCGTGGCGCCCCGCAGCCTGCCCAAGAAAGGAGGGATGCAGGAAAAACCATCAGCGGGATGCATCCCCCGCACTCGCCCGCGCGCGCCGCGCGCCTGGCGGGCCGGCCCCAGCCCGCCAACCGCGGCGGCGGTAATGGGGGTGTTGCCCTGGCATCGAGCGGGTGCCCAACGTCAGGGCTGCCCTACGTCCACAGCGTACGAGCCTGCGCAACAAAATTCTATGGCGCTGCAACTGCGCGCCGTCTCGCCCGTCAACGGTGTCGCAATGCACGCGAGGCGTGGGCGCGGCCTGGCAAGAGCGACAACAGGCGCGCCAGGAAGGGCGATCCTACGACGGCGGACTGCACTGAGGTGAAGCCCTACGCTCAGGCACCCAGCGGCAGAAGACAGGGGACCCGAACCTCAACTTCAACGCCCCCAGCGCCAGAGATCAACGACATCGTCTCGGGGGTACCGGTCCGAGACCTGTACGCCTTCTCGTGCTGCACCGGCAACAACCGTGACCAGGACCAAGACGACCGTTGTGGCCGGGAATACAGCCACAACTGGGGCACACGCTACTACGAATATGGGGGGCCTGACAGATGTTCTACGGAAGCCAACCTGATGAGCTTCGAGGGTCACCAGCTGAGCTACGACAACAAGAAGCAAAGCTTTGAGGGCCACTAGCCGGGCTTCGAAGGCCACCAACAGATCTGCGGCGGCATGAAGCAGAGCCGCGACGACCGCACGCAGAGCCGCAAGAGCCACCGGCAGAGCTGCAGGAGCCACCAGCTGAGCCTCGAGGACCGCCGCCAGACCAATGAATGCGGAGCTCCAAATACGCCCTGGCAGCGGACGACTCCGACTGGCACCGCGGGGAGGCGAAGGGGGCAGACGAGGACAAGACCGGGAAGGCAGACGAGGAGGAGAACCACGAGGTGGAGGTGCTGGAACCAGCAAGGGGAGGCTAAGAGAGCAGAGGCACGAGACCCACCAGCTGGGCCACGAGGGCCACCAGCTGGTCCACGAGGGTCGCGGCCTCAGCCTCACGGGCGGCGAGCAGAGCTCCGAGGGCCTCCGCCAGAACTGCGAGAGCCCCTGGCTGAGCTTCGGGAGCTTCGTGGCGCGCCGCAGGGCCAGCTCCCCGTCCTCAGTGAGAGCGTAGCCCACCAGCACGTCCAAGCTTTCTTTGAGCACGTTGAAAGGCTCCTGGAACTTGGCCACACGGTCCCGCGAGTGCTGAAGTGCAGAGCTTCGGCGGCAAGAGAACAGCGGTTTCCCGAGGGCCATCGGCTCAGCCGCGAGGGCCACCCGCAGAGCCACGACTGCCACCCGCAGAGCCACGACGGCGAGACCGCGGGCCAGGCGCGGAGCCTCGCGGGAGCCACCGGCCACGCCGCGAAGGCCACCGGAGGAGCTGCCCCGGCGAGGGGCAGAGCCCCGAGGGCCACCGGCGCAGCGGCGAGGGCCGCCAGCAGCGCTTCCGGGACAAGCGGCAGGGCCACGAGGGCAACCAGCAGAGCTACGAGGGCCACCGACCGAGCTGCGAGGGCCACCCGCCGCACTGCGAGGACGACGGGCAGAGCTTCGAGAACCAGCGGTTGGTCTGCGAGAGCCAACGGCCGCACCACGAGGGCCAGCAGCACCAGTCTCCCTGCCACGAGGCTGAACCAGCGGCCTCGACCAGCGGGGACGACGCTGCTACCACCACGCCGCCATGAACATGGCGACGTGGACGCCTCCCTACACCAGGCCCGCCGCTACACCCCTTCGCAGTTGCCTCAAAGGGGCCGCCGCACCACGGAGGCGTAGTGGAGGAACGCGCCGACGAGAGTGACGAGGAGGGCGACGACGGGGCACGACGGGTACGAGGCGAGTGACGAGCGAAGCGAGGGCCGCATCATGTACGCCGTTCTGGAGGGCTTGATCTTCCTCAGGACCATGATCGACGACGGGGAGGCCATCACCGAGGTCTTCGCCACCGAGGCCACAGCCAAGGCCACAGAGCCCGCCCTCAACAACCCTGACGACAAGATGGTGCCCATATACATGCAGGCTGCAGACCACTACGAGGACGGGGAGGATATGGTCCACCAGTTAGGGCCTTCTGACGCCATCAGGGCACTCCTGATCACTTACGACTACTACGAGGAGCGCACGGCCCCGATACCAGAGAGACAGAGGCCGAGGCCATGCTCAGCCAGAGAGCTGCTACGGAGCCAGATGCCCATGCCAGCCAGCAGCGGAGAGAGCGAGTACGGAGACGAGGATGACGTCGCATGCAAGCGGGACGACGTCTGGAAGGCAGAGTATTACGACTTCGCCGGCGGCGACTCGGGGGGCATTCCTTCAAGCAGAAATCGAGCAGTGCCTCAGCGTACCAAAGGGGAAGAAGGGTAAGAACAAGCACTGCAAGGGCAAGAACAAGGGAAACATGGCAAGGGCAGGCTGGCCACGTCGAGCGGAGGCACGAGAAGGACACCACAGGCGGACCTACGAGGGCCCCCAGCTGAGCTGCGACAGCCACAGGCGGGGCTGCGAGGACCACCGGCTGAGCTACCAAAACCACCAACTGAACTACGGCGGCCACGACCCGGGACACTCAGGCCACCAGCAGAGCTACGAGCTACAGGCCTCGGGGGGCAGGGGGGGTGTTCACTAATTGTTTCCCTCTACCGTACCAGGGCCACCAGCTGAGCTACAGGAGCCACCTGCTGGGCTTCGAGAGCCACCACCGGAGCTGCCAGGGCCACCTGCGGAACTACGAAGGCCAGCACTGGAACGACGAGACCCCCCGCGAAAAGAACGCCGAAATGGGCCCTGAGCGGGATCCGTAGGAGGGCCTGGGTCTCCCTGGCGGCCACTAGCGACCCCATACAGTGCCGTTTTCGGCTCTCCATCTTCGCCTCTTACTACCCCTTCTATCCCTCTCGTCAAACACTGTTTGGGCAGTGGCTGTTGGGGCAAGACCACAGTTAACCTCCATCCGTTCCTCCCCTCCCGCCAGGACTCCGTGTATAGTTACCCTCCCTCCCCCCTCTCCCCCTCTAGAAACCAACCAACGTCGGCGCGCGTTGGTCCGCGACGGTAGCAGCGCTGGCTCGGGCGACATGGCAGGCGTGGTGGGGCGTTGCGGCTTGGGATCGCCGAGTGGCGCTGCGAGAGAGAGAGAGAGAGGGATGGAGGAGGGTGGGAGACCATGCGTGCTTCTTCCACTGCAAGAGAGGACGCTGAGCGACAGGAGAAACAGGAATAGGAAGAGGACAGGCAGGAGCAGGAGGAGGAGGAGGAGGAGGAGAAGGAGCGGGTAAGACAAGGGTGAAAAGGAGAACGGGGGAGGGGGGATGAGAAACTGATGAGATAGGTAGGAGGAGAGAGGGAGAGAGGAGGAGACGCAGGAGGGAGAAATGAGGGCGAGGAGGGTGGCGGAGGGAGGAGGATGTGGAGGAGCGAGGAGAAGGAGGATAATTTAGGAAAGGGGCCAGGATAAACGATTCACATGCAAGCTCCTACGAAGAGGAGGAGGAGGAGGAGGGGTATGGGAAGGACGGGGGAGAAGGGGGGGGAAGAGCAGAAGAAGAGACAACCAGTGTGAGCCAAACCGACCCACGCCTGTTGCAACACTCACTCTCCCCTCAATTCCCTCCGCATGAATACGAACTCGATCTTATGGACAGAGCTACCGATCGAAGACTTACCCCGGCCAACCCCCTATAGCCAACGCTGGCCAGGCCTCTGACAAACTCTGGCCATTGTTTTCTTTCCGTGGAATCTGATACATACAGTTTCCAAGGGCTCCTAAGTTCGCGCTTCGTGCTGCGCGAAGCGCGAATAACTTCGCGCTCTCGCGCCGCCCCCCAAGGGGGAGAAGAGGAGGACGAGGAGGAGGGGGAGGAGGAAGGAGGACGGCGAAGCGCGAAGCGCGAATAACTTCGCGCCCTCGAGGGCGCCCTTGAGTTTCCCTACGGTGAGCGCCATTTGGGGTGGTGCGGGCCACGTGGACCTCCGACAGTTACAGGACCTGGCAGGACTGCAAAGGGGATACTTTCGACACCGGGCGGAAGGGGCGGAAAAAGGGGAGGGTCTGCTGCCGGGCCTCTGCTCAATGCCACTGTTTGCAGCAGTGTGTCCTATGGGAGAGGCTCCATCTGCTTGCCACAGGCGCCAGAGACAGCCAAGATCTACTCCATGGGGGGAAAGGAGGGGGGAAGAGGGCCCGCGCCGATCGGCAAAACAATCAACAAGAGAACGGTCACAGATACTGACGGCCCAGCCACAGGGGAGCGTTGAATAGACTTAAGTCGGGCATGTCCCCCTACAGTGGAATATTTGAGGAGACAAACATAACAAATACTCAAATATCCTCAAGCATCAGAAAACATTGTAGAACACTCGTCCCCATATTATTTGTTTTGACTATTTTTGAATTGTTGTCCTGGAGAAGGACGTGCCCGACTTAAACGTACAGATCGCTGCCGCAAAACGTAGCGGCACAACGCTCAGGACCTCTTGCTTGGCGTGCCGCAGCACGCCGCGCCATGCAAACTGACAACAGCGCGCCGCTTTGCTCCTGGGGACCTGGAGGCCGGGAGGAGCTCGGGAAGGTGAAGCTTTGGAGCTAGGAATTGGTCGGGCCTGTCCTTCTACCCGAGAGTTTTGGACGAAACATAAGAAATGCCCTCCCCCCCAACAAAAACCTAAAACATGCTCGAAACATACGAGGAAAGTCGCCCCCAAACTATGTTTTGCCTATTTCTGAATTTTCTTCCTGTAGAGGGACACGCCCGACTTCAAGCTGGGACGTGCTGGGCGCGAAGCGCCCAAGCGTGGTGGGCCTGAACCGTCCACCCGCTACATGCACTTTGAGCAGGCGCTCCTGATCTCCCCCATGGATTCCAGACGTCCAGACGTCGTGCACGTGTTCTCCACCTGGGCTCCCCAGAACTCTCGCGTCAGGCCGGTCCCGGGGCCTGGCAGCCGAAAAAAAAAACAGTCCCCGAGGGGCCGAAAAGCGAGGACGAGACACCGGCGCCCAGACATCTCTCCGCGGCGCCGGAGGCCCGAGGTCTGGGCCGTGCAATGCTGCCCTTAAGTCGGGCGTGTCCCCCTACACAGGGGTTTTGGACGACAAGTAAGAATAGTCAAAAAAATAACAGAAACATGCCCAGGAGTACTAAAAACATCGTCCCCAGAGTACGGCGCCCACAGGGGTGTCGGCGCGAGGGGGATTGGGCTCCTGAGAAGGCGGCGGCACTTCTGAGAAGGGAGGGGGGGCTTCTTAGACACCCGCCTGGCTTCTCGATCGAGCCCCCATGTGCACGCCCTCACTCGGCAGGGTGTTTCTCGCATTGCCGCGGAGATCTGCCCATCGTGCACTCTTCTGCCCACGCGTCCTTCCGGATGCTCGGCTTAGCCATGCCATGCCGGCTTCTGCGACGCCTCCTTAGAAGCCTCTGGGGTCTTCTAGGATCGGGGAGGCGTAAGACTCGGCTTCGGGGGACTCGGGTTGGCCGACGGAGCCATCATGAAAATGGCGAGACCGGGTCTGAAACTTGACGCGAGCTCCTGCTGCAACCATCCCACGAAAACCGGACCGGGGAAAATCCAGGAGCGCTCGTCAAAGAGCGTCGGCAATCCCGAGTTCCGGCGCACTCGAGTCCTACGTTTCTCAGATACGGCAGGTTCGCGTCGTGTCGACCCCGTCGTTGGTTCCTGAAACCGCGGGAATCGCTCAACCTTGAACGATCGGCTGCTTCAGAAGCGCCGAATCGTTCAACGACGGGTAGATTTTATGGGCCGCTGGCGGCGTTCAAAATTGAACGCCGGCGGCGGGGTCGCCGCCGGTCGACACGACGCGAGCCTACCGTTAGGTCGGGCGTGTCCCCCTACAGGCGGATTTTGGGTGACAGATGACAAATATTCACACAATGCCCCCAAAGAATCAAAAATACTGAAAATATAGTCCCCATAGTAGTTTGAAGCATTTTTGGATATCCCTCCTGCAGAGGGACAGGCCCGACCAACACCTACCGTGAATGAGGCCCCTGCCTTCGCAGAAGCCCTTCCCCGCATGCTCAGGAAAGGGGCCGCCCCCCTCGCGCCCCCCCTCCCCCCCACGGGCGGGCGCCGCCGCCCGCCTACCCCTCCCCGCCCGCCACTCGAACGGCGGCGGCGGCTTCCCCCGGCAGAGGTTCGACAGCGTCCACGTGGCGTTCCGCATCATGGACGTCTTCTCGGAGTCCCGCAGGGTCGTCATGACCGGGTTCAGGCCTGCCCCGCTTCGGGTGGCCCAATAGGGGGTTCCAGCTGAAGGGGGGTGGTTCGGGCGAAGGGAACTATACACATGCACCGATCCTGGCAAGGCCCATCCTTGACCCAGGATCGGTGCATATACCTTCCTAGCCAAGGTAGGAGGGCGAATGCACCGATCCTGGGCTCAGGATGGGCCTGGCCAGAATCGGTGGATGTGCATGGTTCTACTTCCTTTACTGGTGCAATAGATTCGGGGCAATTGTTTTGCAAACGTACTGCGCCGGAGAATTGCATTGCATCGTCTTGCCAGTAATGTGTTGCACGCGAAAATCCAGCAATACATTTGCGCCCTGGAACGTATTGCACGCCCCAAATGTATTGCAACCCCACAAATCTATTGCACCAAATCTGTTGCACAACCCCCTTGTCGCTGGACCCCCTTGTGGGTCAACCCGACCCGCGAGCGCCCCCTCTCTCGCCTGGCCTCCCCTTCCTCCCAGAGGTCCTGGCGCTGCAATTTTTCTTCTCGCGCTGGGCGTCTGCGCTTGGCTTCGGGCCCCAGGACCCTCACAGATTTCAGTCGGGCCTGTCCCTCCACAGCAGGAGTATTCAAGAATAGTAAAAAATAGTCAGGGGAACAATTTTTGACTATTTTTGAATATTTTCCATTTGTCGACCAGATTCCGCCTCTACGGGGACACGCCCGACCTGATCACGGATCGATCCGGGTCGAAACATGGTGCAGCAAGACGGGGTCCGGGCTCTGGTCGTGCTTTTTTTTCGACGTTGCACTCTTTCGCAGCGTCGGATCGCAGGGTTCTCGGAGGACACACACAGAGGACCACACCGCCACCGAGAGCCCGTCGGGGCCGGATCGGCCCCTGGGCGGTGGCAAGCCCGAGCGCGGTGCTGTGCTGCATGGTGCTGAGGCGTGCCGCCGCCCAAGGGTCGGCCACCACCCGACGATCTTCTCGGTGGCGGTGGTCCATGTCTCTCATCTGGGGTCGTTCGAACAGTGATACGGAATAAAAGTACCCCTGAACCTTATGGAGGGGACCTAAGTTAGGAGGCCCTAGAAAAGTAGGGATAAGAGGGTCGTTCGAACAGTGATAAGGAATAAAAGTACCCCTAAACCTTAGGGAGGGGACCTGAGTTAGGAGGGCCTAGAAAAGTAAGGATAAAAAGGTCTCATGTGCGGATGTGTCAGACGAAACCACCCATCTATGTTTAGGGCTACCCCGAAGAACCGTGGATCCAAGTTAGGCCACGAACTCATAGTGATATCAGGGTTAGGGGTTGTATTCTGCTTAATGAGCTGAGGGGGAATAGCAAAGGGATGGCCACCGAATCAGCTGCAAGCGGCTGGTTTCCAGGCGCCTCCCAGCGCCGGGAGCGACCATGTATCGAGGAACGCTCTGGGCGGCGAGGGCGAGACCAGCGGCATGCAGCAAATTTCGCCCCGCGCCAACCGCCCCTTCATTGTCCAACCCCCCCGTCCGACCCGATCCTTCCTCCCCAGTTTTCCTCCCCTCCTCCCCAGCCCTCGCCCCCGAAAATCGATTTGACTGCCCTTTTCCCACGCACCTCGACCTCTGGAGGCCCGCTTTAACCCCCGAGGCCATCAGACATAGACCTGGAATGATCATACGCCTGGAATGAGCAACCCGGAATGAATCCCTACGGCCATCAAACATGAAGGCAATCAAACATGTAGCGGAAAGGTCCGAAGACCCGAGGCACACCAAATGCGTGGCCAATCTCTTCAGGCGTCTGACTGCTGCACCTTTGCCTCCTCTAGAAGGCAAAACATCCACCCAGAATAACTACCCCGACACGCGAAGCCGTTTACCAAACGCGACCAAAGAAGGCATCAAGCAGGGCAGGGCTGTTTGGTCAACGCCCAGGGCCGCTTAATAAGCGCCAGTTGTCCGGCCCGGGTGGTCTTCCCTCCCTTGCCCCCCCCCCCCCCTCCTCCATCTGAGACTCCGCTTCCTTGCAATCTTAACTCCTCCCTGCCACATCCCATCATAGCAGAGTGGTGGGCCGCGCATAACAGTAAAAATCGTCCACGTCTTGAGTCATTTACTGCACCTCATTCCTTGCCTCTTCCCCCCCGTCCTCCATGTGAGACTCCGCTTCCTTGCAACCTCAACTCCTCCCTGCCGCGCCCCTCCGGCGTGTGCCGGCGGGGCGGTCCGTGCGCTCCGCCTGAGAGACCCCCTCACCACTCATGGTCCGGAGCTGTGAGCTTGCAGCAGTCCTACGGATGGAGTGCGGATCCGAACATCGGCGGTGGACAAACCTCCCTTCAATAAACCTCCCCTTAGCGAAAACGGCCTGGACCGAAACCGACGGACCTGGACCCGCACACATGACGGCCGCGACGCCCCCCTCGCGAACCGAAAACGGCCAATTCCTTAATCGACGTGTCAGGGCAGGAGGTCTATCACCCTCCGAGAAGAGCTTGCAGCAGTTACGAGCATGGACAGCTGGCTTTTTTCAGCGTGGGGCTCGCGCCTCAGCGCGGCACACATTCGTCTTAACAGGTCGCAGCAGCTTCAAGGATGGAGGGCGGGCCATGGCAGGCCCTTTTCAACATTGGGCTCGCGCCTGAGCGTCGCGCACATTCGTCTTGCATGATTGCAGCAGCTGCAATGGAGGGCGGTGCCCTGCTCAATCCTGAGACCTCCTCACGCGAAACTGCCAGGTGTGCACCCGTGCGTGACCAAAATTCGCGGAAGGGGGGCGGGGGCGGCTCCATTACAAGATGGGGGGGCTCTCGCTGCACCCCTTGCTTAACTTTAGGTCGGGCGTGTCCTCCTACAGGCGCATTGTGGGCGAAATATAAAAATACAACAAACATCCTCAAAAATGCTCAATCCCACCAGCCCTTTGGGCGTGAGTGGTTTAGGGAGCTCTCTCTGTTCTCAACCCCCCATCTTCCCCTTCGGGGAGGGGTTTACCCTTCCCCCTACCCCCTCCCCCTGGACCTGGAGAGGGAGTTCCGAGTGGTGTCAAGGGGGTCTTTTTCGACTCCTGGGAGGGCCAAAAAACGACGACCCTCACGAGGATTCTGGCCCCGAGGGGGGGGGGGGGCAGTTTGGCGCCTCAGGCCGTCTTTGAAGCAAAAAGCATTGATTTTACTATGGTTTTGGCCCCATTTTGGCCTTCTGAGGGTGCCGCGCTCCTCTTCCTTCATAGCAAAATCATTGGTTTTACTAAGGTTTTGGGCTCATTTTGTCCTTCTCAGGGGCCAGCGCTCATATGCGCTTCTGAGGAGGTCGCAAGAGGCCCCAAGATGGCCCGAAGAGGCCCCCAGGAGGCTCCCAAGAGGCCTCCAAGAGGCCCCCAAGAGGCCCCCAAGAGGCCCCAAGAGGTCCCCAAGAGGCTCCCAAGAGGCCCCCAAGAGGCCCCAAGAGGCTCCAAGAGGCCCCCAAGAGGCCCCCAAGAGGCCTCCAAGAGGCCCCCAAGAGGCCCCAAGAGGCTCCAAGAGGCCCCCAAGAGGCCCCACGAGGAGCCCGAACGACTCACACCAGGACGAGAGACCCCGAACGACTCACACCACGAGGAGCCCGAACGACTCACACCAGGAGGAGGAGCCCGAACGACTCACCCCAGGACGAGGGGCCCCAACGACTCACACCACGAGGAGCCCGAACGACTCACACACCAGGAGGGGCCCGAACGACTCACACCACGAGCGGCCCGAACGACTCACACCACGAGGAGGAGCCCGAACGACTCACACCAAGATGAGGGGCCCGAACAACTCACACCACGAGAAGCCCGAACGACTCACACCAGGACGAAGAGCCCGAACGACTCACACCACGAAGAGCCCGAACGACTCACACCAGGAAGAAGGGCCCGAACGACTCACACCAGGACGAGAAACCCCAAACGACTCAAATCACGAGGAGCGCTTTCTCTCCCTCCTCCTCCGCCTCGTCCTTCTCCCGCTCCCCCCACAAGGAGGATGTACAAGGAGGCGGGAGGAAGGAGGAACAGGGGAGATATGCGGGGCCAAGCGGACATACGCCTGAAAAACACGACTGTCGGCATGCTTCGCAAGAGTTGCTGCTGTGAGATGGGCTGGTGGGGATACGCGAAGCGTAAAGTTTTTTTTTCAAAAATCGTCCCCATATTATTTTTTGTGACTAGTTTTGCATACTCCTAAGCTGAACTGGAAGCTTCAACCGTCGCTTGCCTCATGATCCGGCAGAATCGCGCAGTTCCGTGTCCAAGCGGGCCCTCCGCCCCAGTGGCAAGCCCCCGAGGGCGAGCGTCTTGCGCGGGGGCTCGCCTAGCAAAGAAACAGAAGTCGCGCAAGGACTTTATTAGAAGGGGGGCTTGGGACGGAGGGGGATGTATTGCAGCCTCGTCGATGCATCCTGGGTTTACTCTAGTCCTCCTCCTCCTCCTCCTCCTCATCCGCCTGCTTTTCCTATGCCCCTTCCTCCTCCACCTCCTCCCGCTCCTTCTCCTTCTAGTCTTCTTCATCCTCAACCTTTCCCTACTCCCGTCATCATCCGCCGCGTCCCTTCGTATCGCTCCGCCCTCCTTCTCGTCGTCGCAAGCGGCGTCGTCGTCACGTTCCTCCTCCTCCTCCTCCGCCTCCGACTCCTCCCGTGCGAAATTAACTGATTGCTGCTCACAATGGATACTACCCTCCTCTCCCCCCCCCGAAAATGGCCGGGGAATCGCCCTCCCCCCTCCGCGGACTGATACTTTTGTCTGAGATATGTATCTATAGATATGCAAAAATATAGATATATATACACGCGCGCACAGGGTTTGAATGTTGTGTCTTTCAAATGCGTCTTTCCATCGGGATGCCTTCGGTGTCTCAGCAAGGTGCTCCCGCTGCAGCGTTGACCTCACTTTTTTCGATCGGCACTTTGCTTCCATCGTGCAGGATGATGGCGCTCCCGCCCGAGCGAGGGCCACCTCTCTGGATCCGACTCCTGCCTCCTCGTTGTCGCCCCGCTCCTTCCCCCTCCCCTGCTTTCCCCTGGCCATCCTGCTCCTCCGGATTCTCCCAGTCCTGCTCCTGCTGATGCTGTTCCGCCTCGTCCTCCTTCTTCATCCCCATCGCGTTCTTCCTCCTGCTCCTCTGCCACCTGCTCCTCCGATGTGGGCAGCTCCCTCCGTGTGCTTGCGCATAGCAAAATGAAATTCTCTCTGGCGGTTCCAAATTCCGCTATGACACCCGTCGGCAGACATAGAAAAAACAGAACGCAACGGCGAGAGAAGAGTGGGAGGGGCAGGATTTCAGATATGGCGTGAGGGCACTTAGCTTGCCCCCTGGCCCCTCTGTTCTCCCCCCTCGATGTGTACATACGTTTCCGGTCCCCCATCGCCCGTGCTTGCCCCGGCCTGTCCTCCTCGCTCGTACCGCGCGCCAATGCTCAAGCCGCCCCGGCCGCTCCCGACGGAAGCACTCCGCTGGCTCGCCTCCTCTGCTTCGCCTACCGAGCCTGGAGATGCCCTCCCTGGGAGAATTGAGGCTACGGCTGTTGGATTCCCCCAGACTCCCCATTCCGACCTCTCCCTGGACCTCCTCCTTAATCGTCATCGTCCTCCTCATCCTCCTCCTCCTGCTCCTCCTCCTCTGAGGGAGCCTCCAGAGGCCTCCAGAGGGCCCCCACGAAAACAAACCAGCGCCCAGAACCTCGAGACTCGATCCTCCTGCCCCCACCCACCAACCCCCAGGGCCTTCAACTCTCGGGCCCCCCAGCATGCGGCGCTTCGACTTCTTCTGTGCACGGCCCCGGGACCTCTCGACCCCGAGTCCCCAGGGTCGGCTCGTCCGGTACCGTGTACCGTTTCTTCTTGACGGCCCCGGGGCGGGGAAAACGGCCTCAGGGGCCAACGATGACGTCAACCTGACCGCCTCGATGTTCTCGAGGCGCTGGCAGCTTGGTGTCTGGGTCTGGGCGTCGACAGTCGGCCCCTGGCCAAAGCCCGGGCGCGCGTTCTGGGCAGAACTCCAACGGGATTCCAGCCGTGGCGACCAGAGAGGCTCCGCACGCCCGAAGATGTTTCGAAACCTCGATTCCCCGACGTCCGCCGATCTAACTGCTCCGATCCGCGGCCCCAGAGCTCCCGAGCCCTTCCCAGGGGGTAGCTTCTCGTCCCAGCTCCACTTGCGACCCCGTGGCCCGAACGACGGGCCACAAGGGGATCTGGCATCGAGGAACCACGCCGGGCATGACAGAATCACGCCGTCGGAGACCTGGGAACCTCGATGCCTGTGCGTGGCTGAATGGGGGGGGTCATGCATGGGGGGGTCAGAAAACGGTCCCTTTTCGTGCCCCTCTGGGGCATCCGGAGCCCCAGGGGGCTCGTTGAGGTACCGTCTGGGTACCTTTTCGGACCAACCTCGCAACCTCCCCAGTTATGACACCCCCATTGACTACCTACAAGACCACCCCAACCCAACCCGAAGACCCGATTTTTTTCGGGTGGGGGGGGTATGGGTTCCATCTGTGTCTTTTCAGAATGTTCCCGGGCCCCCCCCTACTGGAAATGGGGGGCGAATTGAAGCCTTCGGGTTGGGTTGGGGTGATCAGGTGGGTGGAGACCCACTACGCCACGCCAAAGATGCCTGGGCCCCTCCCCCCCCCTTCCGGCCTCCGCTCTGCAGCACGAGGTCGCGGAAGTTCGGGGAGTCGCCCGCGATGTTGCCCAGGGCCCACACGGCCTGCTCGCGCACGTCGTCGTTGGGGGACTGGAGCAGCTCCTGGCCCTCCCCGCCCTGGGGGGGCCCTGCGCTGCTTCCTGTGGCGCCGCGGCGCGGCTGCTCGCAAGAGCGACCCCTGGATTAAGAGGCAACTACTGTTAAATCGGGCCTGTCCCCCTACGGGAGGAATATTCAAAAATAGTCAAAACATAGTCTGGGGACCATTTTTGGATTATTGACTATTAGGGTAATCTGTTTGACGAGTTTGAATTTTTCTCCCAAAATCCCCCTGTAGGGGGACACGCCCGACCTATGATATCTGGGAGGTCTTCGCACGAACGATGCGGAGCTGCGAAGCCCGACGAGAAAGCCACTGGGCCAGGATGAGCCTGGACTGAGCAAAAGCTGAGCAGGGACCGACCGTCCCAGCATTCCTATAGTCCTACCACGAAATGTTCTTAGAACCGAAAAATGTTCAAAAAACAAAAACCAGGTTCTTAGAACATAAACCCGATGTGATACAACAATAAAGTCCCAACCAGAAATGTTCTAAGAACTTTTTGTGGGAACCACAAAAGGTAATTAGAACATTGTGTGGTAGGACTATAAGCGAACCAAGACGCTTCGCCACTGCTTGGCAAAGGTGAAGCCGGATCTAACGGGGTGTGCCATGTTCGGACTTTTGGGAAACGTACCGGCGCCGATGCTGGATCAAACATCCCAGGAGTTGCATCCTCACCTGAGGAAGCAGCGGCGAGCACACAAGCGGACATAGCGCAGCACCGCCCAGACTGCTGACCACGGGGATCACCGCGCGAGGTGGACCTTGGCTTAGGTCGGGCATGTCCCCCTACAGGCAGATTTTGGACGAATTATTTGTTGATTACAAATGATCAAACAGGAAGCACAAATATTCCAACAAGCATCCCCGTATTATCTTTTGAGTATTCTTGAATACTTCTCCTGCAGAGGGACATGCCCGACCTAAGGCTTGGCAGCAAGCGAAGCGCGTGACGGGCTCGAAATGCGACGGCGATCCTACCCAAGCATCGGCCGAGATGCCTTCCGCAAGATCCGCGGCCCCGGGAGAACCCGGGGGGCAGCTTTTACGAGTCGGGGATTTATGCATATCCACCGCTGGTGCCCCAACGGGCGGTGGATATGGATATATTTCGGCCCCCGAGAGCCCGAACATGTCCTGATCCACCGCCTGCCGAGGCTCAGAAAACTGACCATCCAGGCGGTGGTCATGCATAAATTCCTTCTCGGAGCGTCTGCCGGCCCAGATCTGTGTGGCCCTGAAGGGGCCCGCGGCAGCGAGCCTCCGAGGGCCGAGATCGAGGAAAGCCGCCGGGACTCAGCAGATCGGGTGGTCGGGGATAGGGGATGGGGCGCCCCCGGCTCCGAGGCTCGAGGGAGCAGGTGGCCCCGAGGCTCGACCACCCGCCCCAGGAGGCCGACCTCGAGGAACAAAGGAAGGCCTGGATGGACAGCGAAGCAGATCTTCGGACATCTGGAGAGGCCGCGTGGTCGGCGGGCACGAAGACATACTAGAGCTGTCTGTCCTCCCTGGAGGCGTGGAGGCGCGCGTCCGGCCCGAGCATATATAGCACACCCATCCTGTGGCATGTGGTTTTTCCCGAGCGGCGTGGCCAGAAAGCGCCCGCCACGGCGCAGATATTACAGGATTTCTCGGTGCGCGCGGCGCCACGGGGGGGGGCAACGCACACATAGTATTAGTCCGTTGGGGTGACGCTGGTGGGACAACATGGCTCCCCAGAGGTCTGGATCCATTCGAATGGGAAAAGCCCCCTTCGAAGACGTCTGCGACCAATTTTTGACCCTGAGAATTTTTGTTGATCGGCCCGTGGCATGGACCCAAAACCTGCCGTCGAGGTTTGTCACGACGCGAGGATGCCAGGGGAGCTCATAGGGGAACAACATATCAATGATACCCTACTCCCGGGACCTCTCTCGGGGTGCATTCTGACCAGAATTTCGAAGCAAATCCAGCCGTGGCGACGAGGGCCTCCCAGGAGACCTATGATAGCGGTATCGGTGCCGCCGTTTCCTCCGCGTCTTCCTGAGGAGGAAGAGGAGGAGGAGGAGGAGGAGGAGGAGGAGGAGGAGGAGGAGGAGGAGGAG